TTACTGAATATTTCTGTAGTAGTAAAAATCTCATTGAACCGTTTCACCGGTGAATTCTCAAGACAAATCCCCAATAAACTACCTTATTACAACAATTATAACTGGCCCCCATAATGATAACTGTCGGAGGTATTTCCTTTCCGTAATAAACTGGCTTTCACCCGTGTGTTAATATGTGCACTCGCGGGGTGGGGGGTAAAGTGACCTAAGCGGCAGTCATGACGGTTTTACGTTATACCCTCGTTATTCCCGAGTATCACACTCAGGTGTGGGTGGTAAGATGGAATGATGAAGCGAAAAAAAAGAGAAAAAAAAAATGGGGGAAAGAGAAGGTAAAAGAACCCGAGGGTGCTCAACGAAAATGTACGACCTCGAAGCCTAGACGTTTATTAGACGTTAAGTAGTAATATTCGCGAATAGGGAGGACTCCGCGTCGCACACCAGAGTAATAAGAATGGCCCAGTACTCAACGGGTGGAGGGGGAAAAGTTGTCATACCAATTTCCGTAATTTCGTCGGACACTTTGGATATTTAATTAAGTTTCTGCCTTGACGAGTAGTCACTCGAAAGGAATTCCCATCTTAGCTATGTGAGTCGTCGCTTTTACGGAGAAAAAGGACAGATTAAACTTGAAAAGTATGAAGAATTAAATTGTTTAGGAATTAGTAGGTTATTATTGTTTCAGTCAATGGTCATTATATCTTGTGATTTACCAATTATTCTTAACATTGCAGGAATCTTAATCTCTTCTTTTTCCACTAATTTTTCATGACAAAAATGCAATTGTTTATATCATTTGATTAATGGATATTATTAATCTGATAATTCCCCAGTATTTCTCATAATTCGGAGAATTTTGAGCTGCAATTTCAAAAATTAATAGCCTCTACTCTACTGATGGTTTAATGGAATTGAAACCCAGTGATGTTCAATAAAATAATGATAAAATCGAAGTTTTTAATTTAATCAAGTACTCCCTGAGAATTAATAGAACCCAGCAAACCGTTGGTGCATTGATCTTCCGCCGATTAATTAAAATTCACTTAACAAAAACTCTCTGACATCCCAGCTATTTTCGATTTCTAATTTCGTATTCGCGCACAAGAAAAAAAAATTAAGGATATGTCTTAAAATATATAAAATTGACCTAATTTATTCCATATATGCAAAAAAATACTTGGATGAAAATACAAATCTATTTTATCCTTGATTCAAGGATTCAATTCGTGTATCCCTTTTATATATTATATATATATGAGGATCAAGTATTAAATAAAATAATAAAATAATGAATTATATTTAAAATAGATGTATGAGGAGTAATTTGTTAGCGGTGCAGATTTCTCTCGTAATGGAGCCGAAAATTTTTAGCACTGCATACCCTTCCCAAACTATCAGAAGCAGAGGGGTATTGTGTCGGTGTCTACGACTTATATGACTTTGGAAACTGCCACAACCACCTAAACAGTATATACCAAGTGCTGGTGCTATAGAAGTATCTATCGGCTGAAACCGTTTACAACGGAATATTGTCCCGTCTAAGCCGCCCTCCAATATTTCATCAACTTTCTTATTCCCCTTTTCTCTCCACCGGGGCTTTGCCCTCCACCGTCAATTTTTACTCTTCCCAGGTCCATATACTTTACTACTATTCAACTCCAGTGATACCCCACCCCATGAAATTCCTCTCAAACACACTAGGAACTTTCCCGCAAACACATTTGTACAATAAGTTTGATTCTCACCTCCCACGACTGAATGCCAATACGATCTTCCCGTGCCGAATGCCAGGCCAAAACTATGTCCAAGCATTTTACAATGACTCTACAAAATGGAATTGTCTGATTCTCTACCATTTTCCCCGTCAATGCCTTGCAATGAGAATTATTAAAATTATTGCATGGAGAGGAAAATTCATGAAAAATCACCCGAGGGCTCTACAATACCCGCACGATGAGGAATATTCAACAAAATTCATCTGGAATTTTTTTAATCGTCTAGTCCATTTTTTACAACAAAATTGAGGGGAAATTTCGTAACACTAATGGAAAATTACAATTTTTCATGCATTTTTTACATCTCTTTTATTGTGGAAAATCCTGAATCCTCTCTGAAGTAGAAATTATGCAAATTACGAATTTTCCAACAATTAGACAGCAAATTTTTATCAAAAAGAAAGAGAGAAAAAATGATGTAAAATGTACAGCAAAATGTAAACTTAATTCGGCAATATTTCTAGATCGAATTCAATGTTTAGTGTAAAAAAATAAGTGGTCAGAAATCCGCGAAATGATTGTTTTTAGTTCCAAGTTGAAATGTCTCGACAGAAATTTTAAACAGAGTGGTGAGAATGATAAATTTTCTGTGTTGATATTTATTTTTACACCGCATAATCCACTTCTATTCGGAAAAACACTTTAATGAAAATCCACCGGGAGAATAAAATGAAAAAGATAACAACAGCAATCTCCAGCGTTTGTACTTTATGACCGTTGATTTATAAGGGAAATAATTTCAACGGGCAATTCCTTTCTTCCATACCAGTCACGCCATATAACACCCTGTGCCCTTACCCTTCTTCATTCAACGTCTCTCGAAAAATTCATTACAAGACTAAAAAAAAACAATATATGTTTTTCCTTTTTTCTGTGGAATCTGTCGAGCGTGGAACCTCTTTAACCCGGAAAAACACATTTCCGTGATTATCTGAGATTTTATTCGCCCTGTCTTGAATCCCCCTGTCTTTATATTTTCATTCAAGGAATAAAAAAAACTGTTCGTAAAATTATTAATATTAATAATTTGCGTCTCAAATTCAGGGCTGACCTCCGTCAATTTTTCTCGCGTTCAACTCACGCTCTGAAATTTCATTTTTTTTCCGAAATTGCGTCGTTTTATTTCTTACACTAGCGTATATTCTGCGCTCCGCTTAAGCTCACACGTATGGGGTGTTATGGGGTGTTATAGGGTGTTACCAAGTGCCCACCTTCCCACCCTCAGATCCCCCTGTAGGAAATTGAAAAATGAAATTTATTTTTTCCCTGCCCGTTATCAGCTGATAACTCAGAATTAACAAAACCTATTGATATTTCTGTAAAATCACTTTTTATACAAAATTTCAAGACCTACAAAAACGCTATTCACGAAAATATCCCTATCTCCTCTCAATTCCAAAATATTCCATAAAAATGGAAACTGGAAAACCGTATCTCCATGAAAAATGCACCTATTTCACAATTCGAGGTGGAAATAAAATAAAAAAATAACTCAAAGTAATTCAATAACTAGAACGAATCGAATAACATAAAATCCATAAAAATGTCTGCCCGCAGTATGAAAATCCATGGATTATGGCATAATTCCGGGGAATTGAGTTGCGATTAATGATAAAAACGAGGTACCAGCATGACGATTATCTCTTAACGATGAACAATCATCATGTACTCCCCAAAGATAGTGTAAGCATCGAAATACCGAAGAGGGGTTGGGGAGGGGTGGCTGATTCGAGGTCATAGGTACCAGAGGAGGATGTAGTAATTTGTCGGCTCGGAGGGAGAGACGACTGGCTCCAGGCTGATAACGGGGGAGTGGTCCATTCTCGTCTGATTTCCACCCCCAGTCACCCCACCCACCCTCTGTCCCACTTACAACATCCCCCACTCAACCCCACCGAGATACTTCCGTGGTATATACCCCAAGACGTCAGACTCGCCTCTTCCCATCGTCTTATTCCCTTCCTGTTACTTCTGTCTCTGTTTCACATGCCCCTTTCATGTTTCAATCATCTTCTTATATTCTACTTACGCTGGATGTAAAGACACTTTTTATGAACCTCGGGAGAACGGCGACTATACTTCCGTTCTAAACTATCAGGTCTTTTGTTTGAATGAATAATTTATGGAGATGTGCCACGATTGGTGAATGACACAGTTGGCTCACACAAAAAAATTATATTTCATATATATATATATATATATATATATTTTCTTTGCATTTTTTATTCAAATTTTTTTATATTTCGAGACTGCCACTAAAATCAATTATATAAATTGGAAAAACGAATAATTTGAACTGAAACTGAAAATTTCAGGAGAAATTACAGTAGGAATGTAGGTAAAAATATAATAGTATCAAGAATAATGAGTAATACCTCATTATTGATTTGATATTTACATATATATATTTATACATGGAATGAGATGTATTTTGCGACGGGATATACTCGGAATAAATAAAAATTTGTACTGAGTAACTGCATCATTCCAAAATATTCTTTTGAATAAAAAAATGCTCAATGGGTTTATATATATTTTTATTATATATAGCTCTGAGCAACTGAAAACTCTTTCTTCCCCGAAATAAGTAGCTGGAAATGTTCCGAAACTTGGCAACGACTAATCTTATTTCCATTTACCCCCTAATTCTCACCCTCGAATCCACGAGGCGCACGTTTCTCAATCAGTTTACCATTAGCATGGGGGAAAAGTTCTAATTAGTCAATGTGCAGGGAATAATCATTAGCCCGTACTTAAATCTATTCAACAATAGAATTACCAGTGGAAAGTAAAAGTGACAGAAGTTTTTAGGGGGTAGTAAGTATTGAATTAACCGTTACATGAGCATCGGCGAGGGGTAAAATCAAGGAACGTGCATCAGTCTCATTTGTAAATTGAATCAAGGGAGAGAGAGCACCAGGGAAAATTACATTTTTCCGGATAAATATGAATGTAAACATTAGCATGCGCCAGTGTTTCCATGCAATTTTTTTTTCCCGGGTCACTCGGGAAATTTTGCCATCTCGTCAAGCCTAAATACTCATTTAATTTCCATCTCATTAGGATTATGGGGCTTTGCGAGGAATTCCCTGTTGTTTTTTCATTCCCCTAGTTTTGGCGTTTGTTAATTAATATCATTGGCGGAGACCGGGGATCAGCTGTTTGTTTTTGTCCTCGGGGCTGGGTGTACCGGGAATTTGGATAGAGAGCATAATATGTACTCACCACATCTGCAAGACCCTGTCAACTCCAGAATGCCAAGACCAACAACCGGATACACAGAGTTGACTGCAACCTCTTCGATTAATCGCATCTTTGATCACGTTTGACTTTGGTGTACACCCACAATCGCTGATATTCGGGCATTTTATGCCATTTTACCATCGACTAAAAAGAAAAACAGAATTTAATGAGTACCTGAAATTTCCATTCTCAAAAGTATGGACTGTTGAAAATTTATTGGAATTTCAATCTCAAAGTTCTCGGAATTTTAAATTACTAGTACTAGTATTTGGGACCTCTAATCATTATATAGGGGCACATGCAAGAAGAATTATTTTTATAATAAAATTATAAAATGTTGGAGTCTAAAAGTGTCACAGTGTTCTTTTGCGAATTTAATTGCTATTGGCTTTTTCAGGTTGAATGATGATTGATGGTTCAATTAAAACTTGAAATTTTTATACTTATTAAGAAACTTTAACATGAAACATAAATATATTCGACAGATTGAAAATTCCAGGACATTTCAAGTGACATTTTCCAAGAGTGTAATTAAATAATACATAATCCGGATCACTTAATTATTAACTATTTTTACATTCAGATTGTTAGTGGCAGGTCCACTGACATTTCCTCATGAAGATTCAATACTGAATTTAAACTTAATAGTCTCTACTGATGGCTTAATGGAATTAAAAGCTAGTACAATTCAATGAAATAATTCCATTAAAAAATTAATAAGAAGCCGTAGAATTGACTAATTATGGATATAAAATATATTTCTCATGAATTCTTTGTATATCTTTTGCTGGAGGTGTAAAATTACAAACTAAACTTCGAACATGAATGTATAACAGAAGTTCTGCGATACATTCAACTGCCGACGATGTTCCAATTATAAGTTGCAAATAGAGATCTCATGAAAAACGGTAAATTGACGAAGTGAATTTCAGCGATGCACTCGAGTCCTTCGTAATTTATTAATAATACGACTCGAATTCAAACCGGAAAATCTACAATCCACTGTAACCGTTGATGCACGTAATTTTCCATTAAAAAAAATCTCGATTAAATGGAAAAAAAATTGATTACAATAATACCGAAAAACATCATTGTATTTTAATACAAGTGAAGTTAGATTTTATATTTGTTATTAATCCCATGAATTTAAGCTTCGCATTTGCCCTGAAAGAGTAGCTTCTAACAATTTGATTTGGAAACTAACAAAAAATTAATAAAATGAAATTGAATTATTTAAAAATTCAAAAGCATCGGAAGACTCAAAAACACTTTCTTTAAAAAAAATATATAAATCAAGTTAATTCCATTTAAATTCAATTTAATTTCAATTTTTAATTTGTCATTAATTCCACGGAATTGACCACCGAATTTTCCTTAAAAAACTGCTTTGTAAAATGAGATTTTTGAAATAAAAACAAATGATAAAATCAAATTGGAGGGATTGAAAAGTAACAACAGTGGTGGGATTTTATTACCAGAAGGTAATGTATTCACAAATGGAAATAAAATCTCTGGGAGTCACTTACCAGTGACCAGTATTATGATACCATTGGTCATGCAGTAATTCAAAGAGGATTGACTAAAGTAGAGGCTCCGTCCTGGGGGTTTGAGTGACCCCAGTGGCATCGTAGTACTGCACCCCAAGAAAGGGAGGGCGCCACACGCGATGCTGGGGTGTCTTCCCGTCAGGCCACTGAAACTGAAAAATTCGAAATTTTCAAAAAAGTATCAGGAGAGCATGAAAATCGAGAAGGTATTCACTGAAATTGAAAAATTCGAAATTTTCGAAAAAGTCCCAGAGGAGCATGAAAATCGAGGAGGTATTCACTGAAAGTTGAAAAGGGCGCCACACGCGATGCTGGGGTGTCTTCCTGTCAGGCGACTGAAACTGAAAA